TCCATTGTATAAAAATACCACATCTTTTTTATCCATTGCACAGTTGATAGACATTTGGGTTGTTTCCAAGATTTAGCTATGAAAAGTAAGCATGGGTGCACATATATCTCTGTGGTATGATGTTTTCAGTTTTTCTGGCCTAAATTCATGACAATCCTCCTGCCTCAGCCTCCCAAGTGCTGGAATTACAGGCATGTGCCACCATGCCCAGCCTTGGTGGATTTCTTGATGATAGCCATTGTTTCTGGGGTGAGATAGAATCTCAGTGTCCTTTTAAGTTAAATTTCTTGAATGACTAATGATGCTGAACATTTTTTTCATGTATTTATTTGCCATTTGTATTTCTTCATCTGAGAAATGTGTATTCATCTCAGAGCCGTATTTTTGGATTGGATCTTTGAATGTTGAGGGTCTGATATTTTAAAATTCTTTATATGTTTTAAATAGAAGTCTTTTGCTGAGGGACAGTTGGCTAAAATTTTTTTCCAATGTGTGGGTTTTCTTTTCACTCTCTTGGTGATTTCTTTTCTTTTCTTTTGTTTTTCTCTTTTTGAGACAGGGTCTCACTATGCACTTCAGGCTGGCCTTGAGCTCACTTTGTAGCCCAAGCTGGCCTTGAACTCACAGAGATCCTCCTGCCTCAGCCTCCCAAGTGCTGGGATTACAGGCTTGTGCCACCACACCCGGCAAGAGACTATCTTTCTGCCAGTGAACATGTTTGGCCCCTTTGTCAAAGATAAGGTGGCTGAGTGTGTTTATAGTTCTGTCTATGTCTTCTAGTCTGTTCCACTGATCCTCAGGTCTTTCTTTTGCCAATACTGTGCTGATTTTATCACAGTAGCTTCATAGTATAATTTCAAGTCAGGAATTGTGATGCCTCCTCCCTTTCCTTTGTTGCTCAGGAGTCCCTTTGCTATTCTAGGTCTCTTCTGGTTCCAGATGAATTTTAGAAATGTTTTCTCTAGATCTGTGAGATATGCTAAGGGTATTTTTATTGGGATTGCATTGAATCTGTATAACAGTTTCGGGAGTATGGGCATTTTCACAATGTTGGTTCTTCCTATCCATGAGCAAGGAATATCTTTCCATTTTCTTTAATCCTCTTTAATCTCTCTTTTCTGAGTACTATAATTTTTAATGTATAGATCTTTTTCTTCCTTTGTTAGATTGATTCCTAAGTATTTCATATTTTTTGGATGCTATTGTGAAGGGAGTGATTTCCTAATTACTCTCTCAGTGAATTTGTTGTTTGTGTACAGGAAGTCTGTTGATATCTGAGTGTTGACTTTGTATCACACTAAGCTACTGAATTTGGTTATTAAATCTAGAAGTCTTTTGGTGGAGTTTTTGGGGTCTTCTATGTAGAGTATCATGTGAAATGCAAATAATAACTTTAATTCTTCCATATTCCTTTTATTTCTCTCTCTTGTCTAATTGCTCTGGCTAATGTTTCTAAAACTATATTGAACAGGAATGGTGATAGTGTATATCCTTGTCTTATTCCTGATTTTAGAGTAAAAGGTTTCAGTTTTTGTCCATTTAGTATAATGTTGTATGTTGGTTTTATAGATGGCTTTTATCAGATTGAGATAAAGACCATCTATTCTGATTTTCTGTAGGGCTTTTATCATGATGAGTGTTGGACTTTATCAAAAGCTTTTTCTGCATCTACTGAGATAATCGTGATTTTTGTCTTTGGGTCTGTTGATATGGTGTATTACATGTATTGATTTGCATATATTGAACCATCCCTGCATTCCTGGGAGGAATCCCACTTAGTCATGGTGTATAGTCTTCTTCTTCATGATTTTCTGAATTCTGTTTGCCAGTATCTTATTGAGGATTTTTGCATTTCTGTTCATTAGGGAGATTGGCCTGTAGATCTCTTTTTTGTTGGGTCTTTCGCTGGTTTTGGTTTCAGAGTAATACTTGCCTCCAGGAATGAGTTAGGAAGACTTGCTTCCCTTTCAATTTCATTGGTTTGAGGAGTATTGGCATTAAATCTTCTTTAAATTTCTTGTAGAATTCAGCTGTGAATCCATCAAGTTTTTAATTATGTTTTTAGTTTCATTGACTGATATTGAGTTATTCAGAATTTTTATATCTTCTTGATTTGGCTTTGATAATTCATATGTTTCTAGAAATCTGTCCACTTCTGTGTTTTCCATTCTATGCAAGTAAAGATTTTTGAAGTAGGAATTGATGATCTTCTGAATTTCCACAGGATATATAGTTATTTCACCCTTTTCACTCCTTACTGCATGTATTTGAGTTTTTTGATTCCTTTTTATGATAAGGTTGGCTAGAGGTTTATCAATTTCATTTATTCTTTTAAAGAACCAACTCTTCAATTCATTAATTCTTTGCATTTTTTTTTAGTCTCCATTGTATTAATTTCTGCTCTGATCTTTATAGTTTCCTGCCTTCTTTGGGCTTTGGCCTTGCTTTTTTCTGCATTCCTGTTGCATGGAGTATTGTTTTCCATCCTTCGACTGCCAGTCTATGAATTTCCTTTTGAGTTAAATGTGTTTTTTGTGTACAGCATATTGTTGGATTTTGGTTCTTGATCCACTTAGCCAGTCTGTTTCTTTTGATTGGTGAATTGAGGCCATTTACATTAATGATTATAACTGATATGTATTAGTTTACCTTTGTCATGTTATTTTCCTGCTGTTAGTTCCCTACTTTTCCCCCTGTGTTTAATTGCTTGCTCTGCTTGGTGGTTTCCTTCTGTTGTTGTTCTTGGAATTGTGGCCATTTTTATCTCTTTTTAGAATACCTTTCAGTACTCTCTGTAGGGTTGGTTTAGTGGTCATGAATTTCTTCAGTTGTTCTTTGTCATGGAAGTATCTTATTTCTCCATTAATTTTGAAAGATAGTTTTTTTGTTTGTTTGTTTTTGTTTTTGTTTTTGTTTTTGTTTTTGTTTTTGTCTTTTCTTCCAGTACCAGGAATTGAAGTCACGACCTTGCGCTTGCCAGGCAAGTGCTTTTGCTGCTGAGCTAAATCCCCAGCCCCAAAAGATAGTTTTGTATTCTGGGTTGGAAGATGTTTTCTTTCAGGACTTCAAATACTTAACTCCAAGCTCTTCTTGATGTGATGGTTTGTGTTGAGAAGTCTGCCATGATTCTGATGGGCTTTCCTGTATACATGATCTGTTTCTTTTCTCTAACAGCTTTTAATATTCTGTTCTTATGCTGAATTTCTGAGATCTCCATTATTATATGTCTAGGTGTAGATTTATTTTGGTTATGGATCATTGGGTTTCTATGTGCCTCACTAACTGTCTCTGATTCTTTTCCTATGCTTGGGAAATTTTCTGCTATTACTTCTGCAAATAGTCTTTTTATGTCATTTGCATTGACTCCTACTTTTTCATCGATACCTATCAATCATATTGTTTTTCTTTGCATCATCTTGCAGCTGTTGAATTGTTATTTCCTGGTTCCTTGCTATTTTTAAGAGATTGTTCCTTTCATGATCACTAGCTGCAATCCTGTCTTCAAGATCTGAAAGTCTATCTTCAGTTTCATTCAAGCAGTTTTGCTTTCAGTAGAATTTTTAATTTCCTGGATATCTGTTTCAATCTGTTTCATGCATTCTAATTCTTTCCTATATTGTTCATTCAAGGTTTCTATCATTTTCCTATGCACCTCTGTTTTTTATCTATGTCTCCTTTAGATATGCTGAGCAATTCTTTCATGGTTGTCATTTCTTTTTTTTATATGAGAGATTATTTCTGATCTGATGTCTTCTATGGCCTGATGGAGTTGTTTCTTTACTTCAGTTGCTATCATTTCAGAAATTTCAGATGTGTGACTTCCAATTTCTTCTATGTTGCTGTCTCCTGAACTTGTTCTGGGTGGGCTGGAGGTCTGAGATTGCATTTCCTCCTTCATCTTGACATTTTCTATTTTTAAAAAAAATTTTTATTTTGTTTTCTGTGATGATCCTTATGAGTTTTGGTAGTAAGTAGCTGTATCACTGGTATCAAGGCCTCTCTAGGAAAAGTCTCTTCTTCAGGAATATCTTCAATGTGTAGGAGATTCTTGGTTTGTGTCTGCCCCAAAATCCTACCTTCCCAATTAACTGAGAGTGGAATGTTGGTTTCTGTTTGGTTCTGTCACCAGTCTTTTGGTGTAGAGTATAGTGAAGTTATTACCCCAAAGCTTCCCAATATTGTTACACAAGGGAGAACAATTGATTAAAACAGATGTGACATCCTAGCTACAGTAGAACAATTAGCAATTTTGATAGCATCAAATACAATTTAGAAATTGATAAGCTGTTGTAACTATTCATCTTGTACTTCAGACCACAAGAGCAAAATCTGTAGTTATATAGCAGAACCAATCATAAATTAGGAATTTGTATGCAAAGTGTTTCCCCTTGTTAGAGTGGACTTAGACTGGGTTCCTCTGGATGGACAAGTCAGTTGCCAAGTCCCAGGCACTTCCTGTGCTGGCTGCCTGGCCCATGGCATAGGGGAATGAACCAGACATCTGAGTTCCTCAGGACAGAGACTGCCTTGATGGAGAAGGGGCAGTGGGCTGGGTCTCTCCTGGTTTTTGGGTTTTTTTTTTAGTACCACGAATCGAACTCAGCACCTTGCACTTGCCAGGTAGGCGCTTGTGCCACTGGGCTGTATCTCGTGCCCTTTGTGTTATTTTTTAATCAGATTTTATTGGTACATTTTAGATAAACACAATGATTGCATTCATCACAGAGAATTTGTACCTGTACATGATATGTTGATTCTTATTTCCCCCATTCACCTCCCCTCCCTTCAACCCCTGCCCCCCTCCATTGACAAAAGCCTTCTTTCCATATTTTTCAGGAAGGATCACTTTGGCTGCAAGTTTCCTTGGCTCGTGCTCAGCCTGTGTGTTCCATGTTCCATCTACACCTTCAGTCTTCTCAAGCCAACCTCCTCAGAGCCTCGCTCACAAACTCCCACACTGGATACCTTGCGCCACATCCTTGGTGCTTTCTAGCAAGAAGCAGCAATCACATGAATATCTACTTCCTCCCTAACTTGCAGCTTTGCATTTCAAATTGAAAATGGGTTTGATTATAAACCCCAGATCATCAAGCAACTGTCCCTCTCTCTTTCAATTTTCACCCTTTCCTTCCCCCTGATCCCAATCCTGTCTGTCACCTGCTCCTTCCCCTCCTGAGGTAAATATGTATTTAATTTATATATGTTTAATTTCTACAAGTATGTGATACTGACTTTTCATTTTACAATGTTGCTTAAGTATGTACACACGTAAAATAAATTTCTTTCTTCTTTTTTTTTGAGACAGTGTCTCACTATATAGCACAGCTGGCCTCAAACCCATGGCAATCCTCCTGCCTCAGCCTCCTAAGTGCTGGGATTACAGGTGTGTGAGACCATGCCTGTCTTAAAATATAACTTCCTTATGCGTAGGTTTTTAAATCAAAACAACTATAGAAACAGTAATTCAAATTAATATAATGTCACAGATGTTTCTTGGAAATTAAATCACTACCTGCAGGGTCAAAATGATACTGACTCTGGCTGGGAGGGGCATACGTACCTATAATCCCAGCACTGGGGAGGCTGTTAGATCAGTATGTTAAAGGCCAGCCTGAACTACTTTGCAAGACCCTGTCTCAAAAAAAAAAAAAAAAAAAAAAAAAAATGTGGACATTAACTCTAGCTGGCAATTCTGTTCTTAAGAATCACTTTTTATTGTAAAAACTGTAGAACGTGCTTATGATATCTTTTCTGTATCATCATTGAATCTCAATTTAAGTGAATGTTATATTTTAAATGAACTTGAGGGAGACAAAAAGCCCTGGAAAATGAGTGCGCTTATATTCTATTTGGAATCTTCACCTCCACATATCTGCTTTTCATGTTTTCTACACATTTTAATGTAGAAACTTATTATTGTAAAAATACACTTGTTCTCCATACTTTTGTTTTCTGTTTCTCTAATCTTTATCTCCAAGTGGGGGTAAAATCCCAGAACTAGGGAGGCTGACGCAGGAGGATCATTGCAAGTTCGAGGCCAGCCTGGGCTACAAAGTGAGCTCAAGGCCAGCCTGAAGTACATAGTGAGACCCTGTCTCAAAAAAAACAGAAAAAAAAAAATCTTTTTCAAAATAGTGGAGCTAAAATTGTAGACTTTAGTTCTATCTTAATTTTAACTGCACTCTTTAAATGCCAAAAGTAAATACCATTTTTCCCTTAAAAAAAAGAGAGGATTCACTCTCTAAGGCAGGATTGCAAGTTAATATTAAATGCGTTACCTGGAGCCCACCCCAAAAAAAGAGCAGAGATTCAGATAAATTAGTTTTTAACCAGAAATTGAATCACCTATTTCAGCTGTACTTTAAAATGAGATGACTCAAAGTGTATTTTTAAAAATTGAGCTCTTAAAATAAAATATTGGGGCCAGGTGTGGTGACGCATGCCTGTAATCCTAGCATTCAGAAGGCTGAGGCAAGAGGGTCACTGTGAGTTCAAGGCCAGCCTGAATTGCATAGTGAAACCACCCTGTCTCAAAAAGACAAAAAAATAAATAAAATAAAATATTGATCGGGTATTCACCTAGAAGAAAACATTAAGGATTTTTAAAATGACAATACCCTAAATTGATATATTGTATATATAACAAGTAGTATATGTTCCAATTTGCTTGGATAGTGGTGTAACCTAGTTACCAATTGAGAGAGTTAGGGGAGAATTGATATAAAGAACTTAGACCAATAACCCCAGTGTTCACTGTTGTTTCCATGTGTCAGGTTACTAACATGCTTCAGAATAAAAGCCAGGCACGGTGGGGAAAGCCTGTAATCTCAGCACTCTGGGAGGTTGAGGCGGGAGGTTCACAAGTTTGATCCCAGCCTGGGCAATTTAGCAAGACCCAATCTCAAAATTTAAAAGGCAGTGGTGGTGCTGGGAGTGTAGCTTAGTGCAAAGGCCCTGGGTTCAATTCCCAGTGCAGAAAAAAAAAAAAAAAATCAAACGGCTTAAAAGAGGAAATTAACTAGTGGGCAGAGGTGTGTGACATGATGTTAATATTGATTTTTTTTTTTTCTGTCTTTTTGAGACAGGGTCTCACTATGCACTTCAGGCTGGCCTTGAGCTTACTTTGTAGCCCAGACTGGCCTTGAACTTGCAACGATCTTCCTGCCTCAGCATCCTGAGTGCTGGGATTACAGGCCTGTGCCACCACTCCTGGCTTGTTTTTGTTTTTTAATATTGTTAATGTATAAAAAGCTGTTATAAAAGGCTCCATGAGAGAAAATGCTCAACTCCATGAGGAAAAATATGACCCTTCCCTCCAAAAACCACAAATGGGCTGTTTATTTTTGTTTTGAGGTTTTGTTGTTTTGTTTTGTTTTTGTTTTTGTTTTTGAGACAGGGTCTTGCTATGTAGTTCAAACTGGTCTTAAACTCACTGTGTAGCCCAGGCTGGCCTTGAACTCATGGCAATCCATCTGCCTCAGCCTCCTAAGTGCTAGGATTACAGGCATGCAACCATCATGCCCAGCCAGGCTGTTTATTTTGAAGATGAAATAAAAATAGCCATTAATCAGTTAGAAAATATTGAGCTTCATTTGTAATCAAATGAAAATTTAGGAAGTAAACATTTTATTGAGTCTAGTTATAAATCACGATCTCTGCTAATGTGCTCCTTTGTTTCTCAAGGTTGGAATACACACCAAGGCTTGGTTTATTGCTGGAATCTTTCTGCTGCTGACGGTCCCTATCTCGCTGTGGGGGATCCTGCAGCACCTCGTGCATTACACACAGCCTGAGCTACAGAAGCCGATCATAAGGTTCCGCTTCTATTTTGATTCTCCTGATGCTGTGTTGGCTTCTATCATAAACGTAACAGAAAATGTTTAAAATGTATTCTTTGCTTTCCAAACAGGGTTTTTGGATGGTATGCACAGGGGCAGGGATATAGCTCAGGAGCACAAGCACAAGCCCAAGGTCCTGAGTTTGACTCCTGGTACCAAAAAGAAAAAAACAGTGGATGGTACACATACAGTTTAGACAGTGTATGTACGTTTCATATGTGTTATTTTATTTCATTAGCTAAGAATTTGGTTTTTTGGTAGGGGTTGAGAATGTGTTTTGCTATATAGTTCAGGCTGGACTTGAACTCACTATGTAGCTGAGACTGTCCTCAAATTCATGGGAATCCTCCTGCCTCAGCCATCCTAGCTGCTGGGGTTACAGGGATGCACCACCATACCCTATTTGTAATGTTTTAAATTACAGTCATATTTTAGAGCCCACAGAGGACTGGTTCCAAGGCCCCCCAGAGATACCGAAGGTGCTGATGCTCAACTTCTTCATATCAACTAGGCACTGTCAGCGTGTGACCTGCGCACAGCCTCCCACAGGCGTTCAGTGCTCTGTATACCGTCCGTCCTCTCTAGGTGACCTGTGATGCCTGACACCTGTAACACCCATCATCCCTGACCTACAGCACCTGCAAATGCTATGTGAATGGTCCTTACGCTTTATTGTTGAGCAGATAATGACCCCAAAATCCGTACATGTTTAGTACAGATGGAAAGTGTTCATTTCTTTATTGCAAATATTTTTTATCTAGGTTTGGTTGAATCCACAGATTCCATAGATACAAGTGGTTAACTGTGCATTATAAAACCTTTTTATTCAATAAATCCTTCCTTTGAGTAAAAAAAAATTATTAATTGCCCAGGAGATATGGCTACTTCTCTAGTTTGATTAGATATAAAGAAAATGTCGGGGGCTGGGGATTTAGCTCAGCGGCAAAGCGCCTGCCTGGCAAGCGCAAGGTCGTGAGTTCGGTTCTCGGTACCGGAGAAAAACCAAAAAAAAACAAAAAAAAAAAAAAAAAAAGAAAATGTCTGTATTGTCATTTTCTATGATCATATCAAGAAAGTTTTCTGATTACATTTGGGAACTCAGTTTAGCTTATCTCATGTTCATGATTTATCCTAAACAAACACTTATCTTTTTATTTATCTATGTGTAAGATGTTTATTGGTTTTAAAAATTAGTTTCTTCGGACTGGGGATGTAACTCAGGGGCAGAGCATGTGCTTAGCATGTGAAAGGCCCTACATTTGAGGCCCAGCACCACACACACACACACACACACACACACACACACACACACACACTTCACAGATCATAATCATAAAGTATAGAGCATTTAATGTAAGTATGTGACATCTCAAGTCTTGTTTTCAGTACCATGAATTGGAGTGGTAATTTTGTGTAAGCTTCAACTATTTTTAAATTGTAAGCTTTTTCATGGTAATAGCTTTGGAATATCCCAGGACTGCAGTATGTGTGGATACCTACAGAGAATGCTATGAAGCTTATGTCATTTACAACCTCATGATATTCCTTCCCAGTTATCTAACTAATCAATATCCAAATCTGTTATTAGTCCCTGAAGCCAAAGACCCTCAGAAACATTTCCCTCCTTTATGGTGCTGTCCACCGTGGGCTATGGGAGAGTAAGTATGTTTGGTTTTAATTTTTGATTTAGTTTCATTTCATCAGGTTTTTATTACTATTCGGTTCTCTGCAAGGCACAGTAAGACAAAAGGAAGAAGACCGAGTCCCTCCCCTGGTGTAGTTCATAGTCACAATTGAAGACTAACAAAACACATTTTTATAATCTACATATTAGGGTTCTTTACATTTTTCATCCAAATATAAAAGCTCAACAATGCACTGCAGGAGAAAACCTTTGAAATGATTTAACCAACATCCTTGTACATTTGGGGATCAAGTTCTGCAGATTTTCTGCAAAATTCACAGACTAGTTAAAAGACATGAGGAGAAGATAATCTAGGTGGAAAAACAGCAGATGATATGAAACAGGAGCGACAAACAGCAGTGCTTATTCTAGTTATATATTTAATTTGCTCTATTATTATAGACAGCTAAGTTAGATAAAACTGAGTATGTACAGAGACTGGCCTCTCAAGGAAGTCAGCACAAATATAAAAACATCAGAATTGTGGCTGGAGGCTCACTTGAAGAAGACCAGGTCCAAAATAGAGATGCAGTAGGCAGGCCTACCCGCCTCCCTAAGGAATAAGCAGCAACTTGGAATTATATTGTAATTAGCACCACTTGGTCTGGTTAGCCCAGACAGGCATCAGTTACCCAGGTGGGTGACCAGAGCATTCAGATCCATCCCCTCCCAAAAATGCCTTCATTCTTTCCATGCACCCCTGCTACGTGACTCGCTTCCCTATTGGATCAATGTTAGCTAAGCAGCTGTACTTGTCATCTTACAGGCTGATTATAGTGTGCCCCACATTGTGCCTATATGACGACTTTGCTGTACAAATTACCCCTGACAAAGGACCTCAGCGGCAACCCACTTTCAAGTCTCCTCCCGTCTTTCAGAAGCCATCTGTCAACAAACCTTTCCTACTCTTAACCTCTGTTGTCCCTTGAAATTTATTCTTTACTAGTCAAGGGACACAAACCTGACACATGGGACATCCAGCAAGCTGGAAGTTATATTTCTCCTATATCACTATTACATCTTCATGTAGACCGTGAAGAAAAATAAAGCCTGATATTTAGGCCTTTTAGTTTGAAATAGAGATTGAAGTCAAGATTGCATTTATTACAAACAAGAACCACTGGATATGTTTCAGAAAGGAAATATTTGAAAATGTAGAAAGATGAATTTTGTTGTACTGGGCTGGGGATATAGCTCAGTGGTAAGAGTGTTGCCTACCATGCACAAGGCCCTGAGTTCAATCCCTACTACCATAAAATAAAATAAAAGAATTAGAATACAAAGGAATCTTCAGAATACAATGCCTATTTGGGACATCATTCCGTGAGCATGTGGCAGAGGAGGACAGTTCACCTCATGAAAGCCAAGAAACAGAAGAGGCCAGAGTCCCAGAATTCCCTGTAAGGGTGACTCTCACATTGTGACCTGACTTTCTTGTTCTAGGCCACACCTTCTGAAGGTTCCACCACTTCCCAACAGTGCTACCTGCTCAGAACCAAGCCTTTAACATACGGGCCTTTGCGAGACATTTCGGATGCAAACTGTAGCAGGGACCCACTTCTGCCCCTTTTGTTCTGTGTGACACTATTCTGGAACTCCAGACTATATGAAAAGTGAAATCTTTCAGGTGATATTCTTGTAGTATAATTTTTTTTTTGTCTTTTTGAGACAGGGTCTCTCTATGCAGTTCAGGCTGGCCTTGAGCTCACTTTGTAGCCCAGGCTGGTCTCGAACTTGCAATAATCCTCCTGCCTCAGCCTCCCAAGTGCTGGGATTACAGGCATGCGCCACCATGTCTGGCTGTAGTATAATTTTTTTAATTGTATTTAGATGATTTGCTGCCATCCACATCCATCCTCTACTGCCATTCGGGATGACTAAACTGAAGGAGTTAAATATAAATATGGTATCACTTATCAAAGTGATTTTAATTTGGAGGCTTTGAGGATGTTTGGATGCTGTCTAAGGAGTGAGATGCTAAGTTCTTTTTCTTTTGCAGGGTGTTGCTATTTAGGTGCAAACTGGGTGTGCTGCAGTACAGTTGTCAGACCAGTCACCACCGTCGCTCTGTAAGTACACAGACCCTACAGGCATCGTTTTAAATCCTTGTACCCTGAAGCAGAAACAACTAGGTAGAAAACAGTATGAATTGTTAATAAAACAAGCCTAGCCTGCTAGAAAAATCTCAGTATATAAAAGCCTTACTCTGTGAAGATAAATGACTGTTCACAGGCAAAGAGTCAGCAGGATTTACATCCTCTCTAGAGTATGCCATGAAGCATTTTCAAAAAGGTGCTTTTTCAAATGTGAATGTTCCATGGCTTTAAGATAAAGTTAAAGTATGTGACTTTGGGCTAACTACATGAATTTATTTGGTATGTAGTTAAATTAGATCATATGGAAGCACTATCAAAAAAAGGTTGTGTTTTTCTTTAAACAGCGTCAAGATTTTTTTTAGGTAACCAAGGGATACTATTAAGCTACCTGGCAAAACTATTTCCTAAACATTTAAGAACTTCAGGTAATTTAAAGCAGGTAGATCCTATGTTTTATCTATTAGTCCTTACTAAATTTTATGCTCAGAAAAGATGGAAAGAAGGTTAAAAAAAAAGAACAATTTTTTTAAGCTTTTATGTGTATTAAAGTTTTTGACTTAGAACATTTGTATTATATCCTTTTTGTTATTGTTGTTTGAGACAGGATCTTGCAGTGTAGTCCACGCTGGCCTTGAAAAAACAGTGATCCAGCCAGGCATGGTGGCGCACGCCTGTAATCCCAGCACTGGGAGGCTGAGGCAGGAGGATGGGAGGCTGAGGCAGGAGGATCGTTGGGAGTTTGAGAACAGCCTGGGCTACAAAGTGAGCTCAAGGCCAGCCTGAACTGCATAACAAAACCCTGTCTCAAAAGGACAAAAACAAAAAAAACAGCAATCCTCCTGCCTCTGCCTCCCAAGTGCTGGGATTCCTCACATGTCCTGTTCTTAGCCTTTTCTTTTCCAAACTAAATAGTATTTTCATACAGAATTTAAAATTTTAGATGTCACTACCTAGAACTTAGTTTCTCTTTTTAAAACCAAGACAAAGTGTATAGCAGACAATACCAATGTTTTGCAAAAGAGCAGATACCTTTCCTGTTTCCTTTCCAGCAAGCTGATATTCTCTGTTTGTTTTTCCCCATATGAAATGTTTAATGTTTTTGTTTTGTTTTGTTTACCTTATAGGATATAACCAAAGTGTGATGAAGAATTTCACATCGATCAAAGTGTTTCCAATTATTTTTGCTCACCAGTGAGGCTTGCTCACCTGTGGCATCACAGAGCAGTCCAATTATCAACACCTATTCGTGCAGGTAACAGGCCTGAAGCACTCTGGCCTCTTGATTAGCTATATTCACCTTATCTCCCAGTTCTTCCTTCAGGTTTCCTAGCTCTGGCTGAAGCTCATTCTTGTCCTCTTCCAGGTTTAGTTGCTCCTTTTTATATTGTTCCTCCAGTTCTATGCGCAGTTTTTTTCTTATCTCGAACTGCATTGCTGTGGCCAGCCTCAGTTACCATAGGGTGCTTCCAGGCTAATTCTTCCAGTCTTAGAATGGCCTTCATCTAATTGAGTCAGTTCCCCTTCCGATCTACTTTGCAAGGTTTTAAGCTCCATTTTGTAATATTCTTGCTGAGTTGCTTTGCTTCATTTACCTTCTTCTCCATTTCCAGAATACGTTGCTTCTGCTCTTCATCTAGACTCGAGTTCTGCTTTGCGAAAAAGCTCTTTCCTCTTCAAGCTGAGATAATCTCATGGGCCCTTGATTTTTCTGATTCTAAATCTTTAATTGTAACTGCCTGCGTCATTTGAGACACCAAAGGACTCTAACATGCCTGGCTTTGAGGACAAGCTCTGATTTGTGCTGCTGTGAACGTTCTCTGGCAGTTGCTAGCTCACTTTCTGCTTCTTTGGGCTTGCTTAATAAGGCCACTTCTCACCCGGTGGATTCATCGAGCTGTTTTTGAAGAACCTGAGCATTGCTCTCTGCTATGGCAAGTGCGGTCTAAAACAAGGGTCAAGAACACTGCTGGCTTCGTCCTGGGCTGTCTGTAACTCAGTCTTTAACGTTCCTATAGTTTTTTCTTAAAACTGCTTCCTGTCCCTGAAATTCTTTTCCACAATCAGCTTCCTTTACTTTGCTAGCTCAATGATCTCTCTTCAGCTTACCTTCATCCTCTTCCATGAGCTTTTTCAAGCCTGAGCTCTGTGTTTTAAGACCTCCACCTCCTCCTGTGCAGCTTCACTGCCTTCTTCCGCCTAGAGCTCTGGATCCTGCAGGAGGCTCGGATCCTGCTGCAACTTCATCTCTTGCATCTCCGGGCAGTGAGCGGTCCGCAAATCTTCCAGTGCCAACTGTCTTTTTCAAACTGCACCTAGAGCTGCCCAAGGCGCTGCAACTTTGCTTTGAAGCTCCTTCTGATCTCCCGGGCCTCTCTGGACGCGGTTCCCATGTGCTGGACACGCTGGGCTTCTGCTGCTTCTGGGCTTCTGCCTGCTACTTCATTTTTATGTGATATTCTAAGGATGCTTCTAAAACCTGAACCTTCCCCTTGAGTTCTAACTCCTCTGTTACTTTGCTTTTATACTGTAGTACTTTTTCTCTCATTGCTGCGAGAATTTGTTGGATTTCTCCTTTGCGAACATCTTCACTGGCCTGAATTGCAGATTCATGCTCGTCACTTTCAGGGTTGGAAGCATGCACTGCCTTGGTGAGCTGCGCGACATCTTCAGCTGCAGGCCAGCTCCGCGCTCCGGCCTGGCGGTGCGAACCCCGCCCGCAGAGGTGACCCAGGCGCCGCCATCTTCCGGCGATCTCGCGGCCACTTCCGGCGCGGAGCGGATGGGGCGCGAGGGGGAACGCCGGGGGCGGGGCCTGGGCAGGGCTGGATCGCCCCGCCCACCGTCAGCCCGCGCGAGCGGCCGTTACCGGTCGCTACCGGCAGAGGGCGCGCCAGTGCAGTTCGTTAGGCGTCGTGCGCTGAGCCGCCAGTGATGCGGCCGGCTGCCAGGAGCAGGTCTCCTGAGGTAGGTGGGTGTGCAGACGCTGGGAGGCGCTGACTGTGAAATCTACTTGCAGGGGCCTCTAGGGTACTTTAGGGGGGAAATGATCTATAATCATAGACATAAAGGTTTAACAATCAACCTTTTTTTTTTCTTTTTTTTTTTTTTTGGTGTTTTTGAGATAGGGTCTCCATATGCAGTTCAGGCTGACCTTGAGCTCACTTTGTAGCTCAGGCTGGTCTCGAACTTGCAACGATCCTGCCTCAGCCTCCTGAGTGCTGGGATTGGGATGGGGATTTAGCTCAGCAGCACAGCGCCTGCCTGGCAAGTGCAAGGTCGTGAGTTCAATTCCCGATACCGGAAAAAAACCAAAAATTAAAAAAAAAAAAAATTAAAAAAAAAACTGAGTGCAGGGATTACAGGCATGTGCCACCACGCCAGGTTTCAACCTTTTTAAAATCAGGTAGCTTAGCTTTTCTTCAGTAAGCTAATGATTACTCTTTCTAGCTCAGTCTATTGGTCTTATTTTTGTATTTCCTTCAAATTGGCAGAATAATCCTGGTGACATGTCCAGAAAAATACTTTGTTTTAATTTTGAATCATCTGTGGCCAAAGCCAAGTGCTTTTCTACCGGTTATTCAAATAAATTGACTTCTAAGTTTAAGTATTGCTGTCACTATACTTTAAAATACATGATTTAATGATAAAGTTGTCCCATCTTACCATGTTTTATAGAACCTGTGAGCTGCTCCTCTATACAATGAAGGAAATTTTAGCATTTCAGATGTTTCCTTGGACTTAATTGGTAAGAATAAATAGTATGGGGCTGGGGATTTAGCTCAACGGCACAGCGCCTGCCTGGCAAGTGCGAGGTCGTGAGCTCGATTCCCGGTACCGGGGGGAAAAAAAGAAAAAAGAAAGAAAGAAAGAAAGAAAGAAATTAAAGCAGTGACCCCTAAGTAACAACAGAAGGAAAAGGGTCAGGGATATAGCTCAGTGCCTGCCTGGCAAACGCAAGGTCCTGAGTTCAATTCCCAGTACAAAAAAAAGTGTTTCCAGATGTGCATCTTCTTTCTGACTGATAATTCTTTTTCTGGGAATGTATTCTTTTTTTTTTTTAGACAGGCTCTCACTAAGTAGCTCCGGCTGGCCTTGAACATACCATGTAGCCTCGGATGGTCCCAAACTCATGGTGATCTTCTTGCTGCAGCCTCCCAAATGCTGAGATTATTCTAAAGAAATGATTAGTATTTGCTTTGACTTTAAAGTCTATTATTTGTCATACCAGAGCTTGCAAACAACCAAAAGCCCAGTGACAGGAACTAGTGAAAAATATGATAATTCTGTTAACCAAAATATTAGTCAGTTCTTAAGAATAACCCTTACAAAGCTGGGCATGGTGGCGCACGCTACCAGCGAGGCTGAGTCAGGAGGATCATTGCAAGTTCGAGACCAGCCTGGGCTACAAAGTGAGCTCAAAGCCAGCCTGAACTGCACAGCGAGACTCTATATCAAAAAGACAAAAAAAAAAAAAAAATACACAAAATGTTATATTTAGTGCATGACAGGTAATAAAAGCTTCTGTGGTTCATTGTAGAGAGATGCTTAGCGTGTGCCAGGTCCTGGGTTTGACCTGCAGCTCTGTAAAAGAAAAAAGAAAAAGGAAGTGTATTTGTGCAAAGGAATGGCTGGATAGGCGTCTGAATATCTTTATCCTTGATTGCTTTCATATGCTGAAGTATTGTCAATGATCATTTTATTATTTTAATGGAAAGCGTGAACTTGTAGGAAAATACTTAATAATTGAGTTCTAAAATAAATCTCAAGCATTTATTGTAAAAAGTAAATTCACTTGTACTAAAGTATAAATACGACCCTGAAGAAAAATTGTTTCCCTGATTCTTTATTTTATTTCAAGACCACAATTCTGTTGAAGCTGTACTTATTTAAGGCGTTGCCTTAGTATATAGAGAGTGTTATGTAAGGCAGACTAGGTAATAAGCTAAACGCTTAAAAATGGTAATTTGTATTTAAAAGCCATTACAAGGCTGGGCGTGGTGGCGCACGCCTGTAATCCAAGCACTCGGGAGGATGAGGCAGGAGGATTGTTGTGAGTTCAAGACCAGTCTGGGCTACAAAATTGAGTTCAAGCCCAGCCTGAACTGCATACTGAGACCCTGCCTCAAAAAAAACAAACAAAAAAAAAGTCATTATAGGTTTATTTTGTTTTGTTTTGGCCAACAAATCTTTTCCTTCACTTATGTCTGGCATGTATTTCTTGTCTCTTTCTGAGCCCCCATAAGTGAGCATTTATCTTCAGGGATGGCGTTTTACATCTCTTCTGAGGGCTCCGATGTTGTATATGTTCATCTACAGCGAATGGTAAAAGCCTGTCATTCATCTACACATAGAGTAGTAAAGCCTAGCAAAATCTGCCTGAAACGTGACTCTGGACCAAGTCTCTGGTTTATACTTCGCTATTGCTTTAGCTATTTTTACTACAGACAGTTAAGTGTTAATTTTGTTCACAGTTCCCCATGTGCTGTCTTTACATATTTTGCAATGTGATAGGCCACCATCCCGGACTCCTTGCTTTGGTCTGTTTTTGGTAAGTGTTGCTTTCTCTTAAGTGTTCTCAGTTTTCTAAAGGGTCATGAAAGTGTTGATTTTAATTGATTCTAGTGCAGATGGTGGGGGAAAATGTCTCTACTTAAAAACAAGCTCAACCTGTTAGCCCTTCCAGGATTTTCATAAAGAAATAAATCAGATGGTCACTGTCCCATGTATCACAAATAATTTGACATAACCTAATTTTCTCAACACTAAAGGAATCATGAAAATAAGTCCTGGTCCTGCCATCATCATAGAATACTATGCAGTTTGAAAGAAAACATGATGTACTATATTGGATAATATGGAAAATGGTCATCAGTAAATATTCCTTTTATTTATTTATTTAATTTTTTTGGTCTTTTTGGGACAGGGTCTTGTTATGCAGTTCAGTCTGGCCTTGAGCTCACTTTGTAGCTCAGGCTGGTCTCGAACTTGCAATGATCCTCCCGACTCAGCCTCCCAAGTGCTGGGATTACAGGTGTGCACCACCATGCCCAGCAATATTCTTTAAAATAGAAGACAAAACTATATGTGGTTTTGATTTGGTAAAAAGCGTAGGTTAGAGGGGCTTCTCCAAACTAAACAAATACACTGTATTTGACAGAGGAACAGTAAAAAAAGACGGAAGGGAAAAATTCATGAAATCCTACTGCCAGAAAAAGTGATTAACGTTTTGATATACATGTGTCCTATGTAAAACCGCACAGAAATGATCCTACACTACAAAAACTAACAAAACTCAACAATATGTGTTCAGCATATTGTAATTACAATTCTTTTGTCAGTGAAGAGAAATATAATGTTATTGTTGTTTGGAGTTTCTGTTTTTGCTTAGTATTCTGTTGTGTAGATATAACTTGCTAACCAACCTTTTATTGACATTCGGATTTTTCCTTTTCATCCTTAAAGTAGCATTGAAATGACTATTTTTATGTTTCTGAAAGCTTGTCTATCTCATGATATGCTGTTAAGATTAGCATGGGGCCAATGTGCTGGCACACACAATGCCAGCTACTTGGGAGGCTGAGGCAGGAGGATTGCAAGTTTGAGGCTGGCCTCAGCATCTTATCAGGAACCTTTCTTAAAAAGTAAAAGCAGCCTGGGCATGGAGGTTCTAGGTTTAATCCCTAGTACCAAAGGAAAAAAAAAGTTTAAAAAAAATTAACCTGGGTATTATCTAGATTTGCTTAAGATGCTTAACATGATTTGCTGTCTTGGGGTCAGACGCTTTCTGAATTTGTCTGTAGCTTCGAGAGTTTACAACACTGCTGTCAAAATTAGTGGTGTTTTTTCCTTAAAAAGTCTGAATAATTAATACAAGTGTGAACACCATTTGAATACCATCTTTATTTTAGATACCCACCGTACAGCGTGTTTGGCACTGTGTAGGTATGAGATCAGCTCTGGCAAGCCAGCGTCACCGTCCCCCGGGAAACTGCTTTTGGAATGAAGGCTCTAGGTTCAATCCCTAGTACCAAAGGGCGTTTGTGATGCAGGTGTGTGACGCCCACGCGCGGCTGCTTTGGGAAGAGGCTGGAGGGGTAATGTGGTGGTAGTCTGCAGGTTGCACTGGGGTTTTAAATTTTTAAAATGACATTTTTTAAAACAACTGCTTATTTTATGCTTGATGTAGATTTGGCATTTACCTTTTCCCAACATATAGGCAAGCAGTAGTCATTGCTTCGTTGGTAAAAGTTGGCGTTGTTTCTGAGAAGCACATGCGGGAGTGGCAAACTGTAGAAGTGGTCATAGGACTCCAGGTAAGTAGCGCACTGTCCGAACTCAACAGAACTTTCATTTTTAAGTGTTTTTTTTACAAATCTCCACTAAACTACTAGCGTGCAGGCTATGGTGCTAGAACTACTGCACTCACCCTGCAGTGAGGGAACAGGAATCCTACAGAAACTGGCCAGAAGTACTGCTTTGTACCAGAAGCAGAGCCCAAACCCGGGCTTTGGTCTTCAAGGTCCATTTCTCTTTCTGCTTTCTTCCTTAGTCTCTGGGTGGTGATTGAGAATAGCGAGCTAAGGGGCCAGAGATACAGCTCAGTGGCACAAGCACCTACCTGGCAAGTGCGAGTTCCTGAGTTCGATTCCCGGTACCAAATAAAACAAGACAAAAACGAAACAAAGAAAAGGAATTTTGGGCCAGGCATATAGCTCAGTGGCACAGCGCCTGCCTGACAAGCGTGGAGGTCCTGAGTTCAATTTCCAGTACCAAAAAAAAGAAAAAAGAAATGCCCCTTGAGAATAGCGAGCTAAGAAAGTAGTTGAGGTACTTTGCTAAACATACATGACTTGGGCAGTATGAAACAGTTTCCATTTCGGGGGACGGTCTTTTTGAGACAAGATCTCACTATGCAGCTCAGGCTGACCTTGAATTCACTCTGTAGCCCAGGCTGGCCTCGAACTCGTGGCGATCCTCCTGCTTCGGTCTCCCCAGTGCTGGGATTAACAGGTATGCGCCACCATGAGCCGCTAGATTCAAATTCTGTCCCTTTTTTGAAGAGGTAACAAAAAAATGTCTGGGAAAAGGAAAAACGAATATAACAGGAAAAGAAAGTTATTAAAACGTAGGTACTTTTGCAAAGTAAGTAGAGAAAGAACAATGTGGAAAGCTGGGTCGGAGCCCAGTGACAGCTGCTGTCTCCCGGCTGTTGCAGGACGCCCGCTGCCCCGGCGGCCCGGCGCGCCCCGCCCTGCAGCCCCTCCCGACCGGCAGCCCCCGCAGCCCGGGGCGCTCCCGCCTGGCGCGGCTCATCTCGGGGATGCTTCGGAGCCCAGGTCGTGTTGTGAAGAAGCGAGGCGTGTTGGCGAGCACTGCCTTTCGATTCTTCCCAGGCCCAGCGCGACTCCTCGGATGCAAAGTGGGGAATGCAAGCACCGGAGCCAGCCCCGAGCGCGCAGCCGGGCGCGCCTTCCCCTCCCTCAGTGCGGCCCCGTGTCTCTAGCGCCCGCGGCGCAGTCTACGCATGCGCGTCCTCGGCCGGCGGGGCGGGGCGGGGCGGGGCGG